GAGCTGGGGGACGCAGGGCTGCAGGCTCAGCTCCCGTCCTCCCCACCCTGCTCTCCCCAGCGCCCGCGCTCGCCCCTCGGCAGCGCCAGACCCAGCCTCACCCCCACGCCTTCCTTCTCCTTCCCAGCATGGTCAGTGCCGACTTCTGCACCGCAGCCGTGCTGATCTCCACCGGAGCCGTTCTGGGCAGGGTAAACCCCGTCCAGATGTTGCTGCTGACCCTGCTGGGAGTTGTCCTCTTCACTCTCAATGAATATGTCCTGCTCAGTCTCATGGGGGTGAGTCACCGATTGGGGGGGCCCACCAGAAAGGGGTGACTACAGGTTTGGGCTCCTCATGTCAAGACCTGCCCTGCCTGTAGAGACAAATCCCACTCCCTCCCTTCCTGTACGGTGTTTTTCTGTACCCACCAGGTAAGTGACAGCGGGGGCTCCTTGACCATCCACACCTTCGGTGCTTATTTTGGCTTGATAGTTTCCCGGATCTTGTACCAGCCCCATATGGAGAAGAGGAAAGAGCAGCAGGACACAGGGCATCAGCCAGATTTCTTTGCTGTGGTTGGTACGGAGCTCAAATCCTACAGCACTGGAGTCGTAGAGATGGTGGTGGAAGGACCATCACCAACTTTAGGACAGCGTGGCTGTAGCTTTGATCAGCAGAGTCCTGAAAGCCATCAAGGACAGAGGTCCTCCGCCTCTCTGGGGACCTGTCCTGGGGCTGCACCATCCTCGCCAGGAAAAACCTTTTCCTCGTGTCCAACCTGAATCTCCCATGCTGCAAGCTGTGACCACTTGAATCTCTTGGCACTAGCAAGAAGTTTCTTTCCTACAAGGGATCAACCCCAACATCAAAACCTGCCTGTTCCCCTTCACTGCAGGAACCATCTACTTGTGGATCTTCTGGCCCAGCTTCACCTCGGCCACTACGGTCCGTGACAACGCCGAGCCCTGGGCAGTGCTCAACACCTACTTCTCGCTGGCAGCAAGCACCCTGGCCACCTTTGTCCTCTGGCCCATCCTCCACGAGGAGGGCACACTGCGGGTGGTAGGTCCTCTCCTGGGACAAACCCAAGTCTCATGCACTGCCCACATCCCTTCTCACAGGGATGGAGAGCACGAATATACCCGGGGCAAAAGGGGATGCCCGTTAGGTTTTCTTAGGTTCATTAAGACCCAGTTTGATCCCTGAGGAAGCCCAAATCCCTCCAGCCCCACACTGATGTCCTCCAAGGAGCCAATTCCCCTGACCACGTCCTACCTCATCAGGTTCAGATCCAGGATGCCACCTTGGCTGGTGCGGTCATTATGGGTATGGCTGGGGAGATGCTGGTCACCCCCTTC